TCTCCTCTCATATACGTCGAGTCCGGCCATTCTAAGGTCCGGTAGACGTATCTCTCCTCTGTATTGGCTTCTGTTTAGCTGGATCCTGCGTGTAGGGGTATATTCTCGTTACAAGGGGCAGATCCAGATGGGATTAGCCGCGGCCTGGACGGAGTTCCAGAGGAGTTGTAAGTCCCGCTATAGTATTTGTGGTTCTCTGGACTCCTTGTATGGCTGGGGGAGAGGTGCTGCTAGTTGATTGTTTTGGAGGGGAAGGGAGGCAGTGAAGATAGTCTCTTGGAGAAAATATAGGGGATGACAGGAATACATACCGTGACCAGGGTGGTTTGTCACAAGATTTTTGTTTGGTTTTTTTCCCTCGGGAGTTAGTTAATTTGCTTGATTCAGTAACACAGTGTGTGTAACTCACCCAACCATGGGCAGCCAATCCAAGGTGTCCGGGGTTAACACACTATGTGTGCTGGGGGGACAGGGCCTGACAGCCAAGATGGCCGGACGTGTTTCTTCTTAACTCTGAGCACTAAATCAGCCTTGATCACTCATATTCTTGAAGATTAAAGCCTTACACGAGTTGAAATCTGACATATACTGAGCAGGAACACGTTAATGCTTGAATGCTTGAACACGTCCGAACATTCGGCTTAGTCTGTCTGGATGCTTGGTGACTGGAAGAGGCGGACGATCTCCCGACACATGGCAAGCTCTAAACGACAATCAATCTGTATCCCCGCAACCCCCACCCCCATTTGGGCCTGTGGTGGATTTCCCAGTCCACGCTGGAGAAACTCAGTTGCCTGCAACAGTGGGATACCCAGCAAAGCCGTGGCCAAGATAGCTGCTGTGCCGCAACATCCACGATACCCAGAGGATGCAACAATCCAGACCTGGAAAGAGCGCTTTGAAGCCAGATTTGACAAGGTCTGTCAGTGGTTCTTTACTGCAGAGCCCCTGCAGCCATCTCAACTGCTAAGTCTGTGATACATGCCTCTGCACCGGACTACAGATCCCATTCTGGGCCTGAGGCCGGCACTGAGGATTTTTCAGCCATACACCCGAAAGTTCACCTGTGTACTGGAGCTCTCTCGGGCCTGCACTCATCCCAACCGGAGAAGAAGGATTCTTGGTGGCGCAGCAATGGCTCCTCTTGAGGCCTGGACACTGGGGGAGGACAGACTCTGGTGCGGAAAACTCTCCACTGCTCACAAGCTCCTGCATGACAGCTGGCACTACAAAAGGGGAAATAAAAGCAACGCACCCCGCATAACTGTGGACTGACTCCTGCAACATACCTGTGGTGTCGGATAAATCCTGTATATCCTGGGTCACGTGCCGTCTCTGGCCGGTCTGTTCTAACTGGTTTAGTTACATTGTAACGGTTGTAAACTAATGCCTGGAGGGTTACCCAGGTGATCTGATATAGTTGTGAATTGGCACGCATCTAAAACCACATTTTTTTAAAATATCTTTTTCTATCAACATTTTGGTATACATGTGAAAAATATTTTATATATATATATTTGTCTGTCTACCATGCTATCTAATATGTGTTTTTGTTTCTTTCATTCACTTATCCATGTGACTATTTTTTTAATAAATGTTGCAGGTTCTTTGAGAAGTATTGCTGCCATGTTGTTACACTTGGTGACTCTTATTACTATGGCAGGGTCTTCAATGCCCCTTCACACTTACCTCCTCATAGTGATGAGTACACAGTGATTCAAAAGCTACATATATCTTAGCTTGCATGTTATACAATACTTTCCTTAGTCCAGCTTAGTTTAACATAAACCTTTAACATGCTATACGTTTCCTAATTGTGTTTTACTCTATCCTTGTGTAGTCAGGGCAGCTAGTCTCCTCCAACCTCAGTTAAAGGGACACTATAGCTTAATGAAGCAGTTTTGGTGTATAGAACATGCCCCTGCAGCCTCACTGCTCAATCCTCTGCCATTTAGGAATTTAATCTCTTTGTTTATGATCCTAGTCACACCTCCCTGCATGTGACTTGCACAGCCTTCCATAAACACTTCCTGTAAAGAGAGCCCCATTTAGGCTTTCTTTATTGCAAGTTCTGTTTAATTAAGATTTTCTTATCCCCTGCTATGTTAATAGCTTGCTAGACCCTGCAAGAGCCTCCTGTATGTGATTAAAGTTCAATTTAGAGATTGAGATACAATTATTTAAGGTAAATTACATCTGTTTGAAAGTGAAACCAGTTTTTTTTCATGCAGGCTCTGTCAATCATAGCCAGGGGAGGTGTGGCTAGGGCTGCATAAACAGAAACAAAGTGATTTAACTCCTAAATGACAGTGAATTGAGCAGTGAAATTGCAGGGGAATGATCTATACACAAAAACTGCTTTATTTAGCTAAAGTAATTTAGGTGACTATAGTGTTCCTTTACCTCTTATCAGGACCTGCCCTGACTCTCATTTTTCTCATGTTATACTCTTTATACCAGGGGTGGGGAATGTCCGGCCCGCGGCCCGTACAAGGCCAGCAAAATCATCAAAGATCTCCCTCACTGGCCTCCTGGCAGTTTGTTAATGGAGCAGGAGGGAACTAGGACCTGGAAGCCTGCTGGATAGGAGGAGGACTCATGAGGCTGTAATCCTCCTACGAGCAGGCAAGTCAGAGTGTTGCTGCGCGTTACTATGGCAACACTCCAACAGCGCTGTGCTCGTGGGAAGAAAAGAGTTAAGTCATCCTGCAGCCGGAGGAGCTGCAGGCTAAAGAGCACACAAAACCACTGGACCACCAAGTATAGCAGTGATATGTCCTTCCAGGCCAGCAATAAGGAGTGGAAGGGGGGGGGATTCATAAAGTTTTTTTTTTTTCCTCTTTTTAAGTAAAAAAAATAAATAGATTTTCTCCCTGATCCCCCACCATAATATAGATCTCTGACACACACTACACCACCTCACACACATACTTCACCCTTCACACACACACACACACACACACTACACCCCCTCACATAAACACGCAGCATACCTCACACACACACACACACACACACATCACCCCCTCTACACACACACAGTACTCCCTTCACACACACAGCACCCCTTACACAAACACACAACCCCTCACAAACACACTGTGTGGGGGGTTATGTGTGTGTGGGGTGCAGTGTGTTTGTGTGAGGTGTTCTGTGTGTGACGGGTTCTGTGTTTGTGTGAGGGGTCATGTGTGTGTGGGGTGCAAACACACTGCACCCCTCTCACACACTTCACTACCTTACACACACTATACCCCCTCACACAAACATTACACCCCTTACACACATGCTGCACCCCCTCACACACCGCATTCCTCACACAAACACAGTGCACCCCTCACACAAACACACAGAACCCATTGCACAAACACACTGCTCCCCCTACACTCACACACAGCACCCCTACACTGCACTCCTCACACACACACTACACTCCTCTCACACACACATTGCGAGTTGCAACATCATCAATACCAGCTAACATCACACCAAAGAGACTCAGTTCCAGCCATCACATTAGGAGTGAGTTAATTAAATGTTTGCCCAAATAGAGCAGGCTAATTTTTACGTTGATAATTTCGTATGGCCCGCGAATGATGTTTTAAATATCCAAATGGCCCTTGGCAGATAAAATGTTCCCTACTCCTGCTTTATACAAACAAGAAAAAAAAAGTGCAGAAACATTTTATGTTACATTTGTTGCTGACATTATCGTACGTATTCCTGTTAAAATGTCCATTTACGCTTGTGCACACTGCAAAAAAAAGAGTTTATAAAAAAAAAAACAACAAAAAACACTCTGTGTGTGCTGACACAATACACAAAAGTGATATTGACACATAGGATGAGAATATTCTTGCAGACTGATTGAAAGCCCATTAAGGCAGCCCTGCTACTACTACAGCTTAATTTAGTTGTTCTGGTGAGTATGGTCAGTCCCTGCAGGCATTTTTATGTAAGAGAAAATGCATTGTTTACCACCAGAGGTATTCTAGGCAATAATGTACTCACTCAGACGGCCACTAGAGGTACTTCCTGGGTTAGTTTGCTTTACATGTAGGTGCAAAACACTCCCCATAGAGATGCATCAATTTAATGCATCTCTATGAGGAGATGATGATTGACACCTGCTAATACTATGGAAAAGCATTGGATTGGCTGAGATTATCAGAGTTGATGATCTCAGCCAAGGAGGTTGAGAATGGACAGAGCCAGCTATGACCGGATCGGCGCGATATTGGAAAAAGGTGAGTACACTACCTTTTTCATAGGGGGCAAGCGAGACTGGGGGACTAAATGGTGTTTTACACCTATAGTGTCAAGAATACACATTTGTATTCCTGACCCTATAGTGTTCTTCTAATTATTTTTTAAAATAAAAACTGCAGGCACAGGGTACTTGCATTGTAACTACTTCAGAAGGTTTGAAGTAGATATGGTGTTTACAATAACTTCAAAAAATTTATTTTTTGGCTTTTTAATACAAACTCTAAATTAGCTGAATGGTAGTAAAATCTGTTACTCTAACGCAATATGCCTCCTTAGAGAAGTATTTTTGAGGGTAATTTTGGCAAACAGGGGAAAGTTTGGCAAGCCCCAGTAAAGTATTATGAATGAGAGTGGAGGCTTCTGGTGCAACCAGAATAGAGGTGAATGCCACTGGTTAAACAGGAAGGCTGACGGGGGAAAAATCACACAATTAAAGGTAGTCTTAATGCAAAAATCTCATATCAAAGATGTAACAGAAACGTAATAGTTTTTATTTTATGTCACTGCTACATTATAGAAAGAATGTAACAGGGCAATGGGAGATCTGATCTCACTGGTAACAGACAGGGTTAGCACATTTGTGAATGGCTTCCTATAATGTTGGGTGTGAGCTATGAAAGGGTTAATGGAAGGTCTGACTGTTCCAGCACAGACCTGACCTGTGAACAATGGGTTAAGTGATGTCTGCTGGGCAGGAGCTGGGAGCCACACCTCCACTAGCTGGGCTGGAGAGTCAGTGCGGTGACTGACTGCCTGCGGTCTCCAGCCAGGACCAGCAATGGGCATAACATGGGGCCACAGCCACCCTGGACCACCAGGATCTGCCCACAGGTGAGGTGAGTGATAAGAGGGCACCTGGAGATGGCAGGGAGAGATCGACCAGACCTGTATTATGAATGAAGTGCAGGCTAGACTGAGGGTGCTAGGAGTTAGCCAGTTAAGTGCCCTGCCAATGAACGCAGCCCAAGGGTGCTAGGAGTTAGTCTGCTGTTATCTCAATAAAAAAAACTGCTGGTTGGGCTGAGGGTGTTAGGAGTTAGCCAGTTAACTGCTCTACAATATCCATGCAGGCTGAACGTGTTAGGAGTTAGCCAGTTAACTGCTCTACAATAACCATGCAGGCTGAACGTGTTAGGAGTTAGCCAGTTAACTGCTCTTCAATAAACAGCAGCAGGCTGGGGGTGTTAGAACTTCCACAGGAACAGCAGTTAGCTGATGATGCTAGGAATTGGCCAGTTACCGTTCACCCAGTTGAGTGAGAGTGATGGGAGTTCTTGTGTCAGGACTCAGGAGCACAGACAGGACATGTCAAGGTTTAGAACAGAACATGCTCACAATTCAAATATGTACTAGGCCTTGGCACAGAGTTGATAAAGTTGTATGTTTGTATAATATATAATATATATGTGTGTGTAATATTTTATTATTTTCAGTATTGTTAAGCTATATTGCCAGCTCTGTCATGTCAAGCTCAGTTGGAGAAAACTTTTCAAGCCATGTCATTCTTGATTCTGTGAATAAACCCTTCCTTTTTTTTTTTTTTTAAGTGTCCAAATAACTTATTTAGTTTGTCTAGCGTCATAATAATGAAAGGGAAATAGTGTAGGCCCTTTAAAAGTATTGTCATTCTATAGAGTTGGGAAAACAATGCAATTTTGGGCTATAGTTTGCTAAATACTTTGTGGTGAATCGATGAGTTTGTTCCAGGCTACAATAACATTACTTGAAAAATAGCCGAATTAGAGGATTTTCTTTCCAGACTCTGGCTTCCAATTCAAATTTTCAATTCCCTTGTTTGTTTACCACCATGGCCTATTTAGTGAATTTCCCAGACTGTTTAAAAATATGCCTTTTTAGTCGTTATCACGTCCCTAGTAGTCAAATGGTTAAACCAGAATTCACAGAACAGTGTTACATTTTTTTGACCATCTGAAGGTCTCTTTTGCAACTGCCACAGATGCATATCAAGAAATTAATGGGGAGCGACCTGAACCAAAAACTGGGCCCCCTCTAACTCTAACAAACCTTAAGACACTACGACAATTAAATGTGTGACATTTCAATTTTCACCTTGTCAAAGTGAATTCAAAGTAAATTTCAACATATAGGTCAAAGGCGCTGAAAGGAAAAGATTGCTGACTTTGAGAAATGTTCAAATTCTGAGTATTTTAAAATTCATTTTGGATCCTTTGCCGTTTTGTGAATAATTCAGTTTATGCTTTCCTGTATTTGTTTCATATATAACAGCATTTATATAAATAAAAAGTTTAGCGGTCACGAACATTTTTATCTTCATTTGTTCGTTTAAATAGAAATGACAATATAAATCTTTATTCCCTTCGGAACAAAAGATTTAGGTAAATTTTTAATATTGGTACAGACAAATATGTAATTTGTCATAATGAGAGTATTTTTAGAATTGCCATTTTGGATTAAGACACAATTTTTTTTTTCTCGCTATTTGAAGGGCCCCTGGCATTCTGTATTTCCTGGGTCCCATGCCGTCTCTGGCCGGTCTGTTCTAACTCTTTTAGTTACACTGTACCGTTGTAAACTAATGCCTGGAGGGTTACCCAGGTGATCTGATATAGTTGTGAATTGGCACGCAACTAAAACCACATTCTTTTAAAATATCTTTTTCTATCAACATTTTGGTATACATGTGAAAAATATTATTTAACCCATTCTAATATGTGGTTTTGTTTCTTTCATTCGTTTATCCATGTGACAATTTTTTAAATAAATGTTGCAGGTTCTTTGAGACGTCTTGCTGCCATGTTGTCACAATATGTTATGCCTTGAACCCAGGCTGTGACTGTGGAGGCACACGTCTCATGTATTCTTTAGGTTAAATGCTTTTGACTATAATTTGCCGCCAAAATCCTTTGAATCAGACTCCTATATAGACTTTAGTAAAAGTCCTACACAATGCTATCTTTATGATGTTCTGTAACAATAGGAGATTGCTTGCTGCGCAAGATAAAAGAAGTCTTAAGATAATTGCAAAAAAAACAAAACATTTTTATAAGTGATAGCATAAAGGTGGAAAAACATTTAGTCTAACTATCAACTATTAGCTAGTTAAAGTAACATCTAGATGACTATGAAAGGAAAATTTTCCAGCACTGTTAATAAATAGGTTTAACTGAAATATTACTTATTACAAATTTGTTTTTGCTATTTGGAAAAGGAAAGTGTTCTATGTATGTAGCAGAATTTAGTGGCTACTTACTAAATTGCCATATGCATTTAAAAAACAAATCTTTATTAATATTATATTTTTAAAGACGCTTTAAAAAAAAAAAAGCATTAATTTGACTAGAGAGCTGTCCGACAAACTGTTTTAGAATATCGGTGACATTCTAAGCACCATGCCTTTACTATACAAACTCAAGTCAGGTCCCTCGATCCTTTGAGCAAATTGTTATATCAAATGTGATTAAGTGAAGATAGACCAAAGGACTGTGTCTGTTGTTTACCCTAGAGGACCGTGCTATCTGCAAACAACGATCACACAAACTATTTCAAAAGACAAAGGCCCTTTATCAAGAGGGGCATGTAAAAATACAAAATAACTTTCTACACAGAGTGGTATGTTGACTGGAGAGTCACACAAAGGGGAAGGTGGTGTTTCATGGGGCAGGAAGAAAAAAGGGTAGGAAGTGTTTTTAAGAAGGTAGGAGGTTAGAAAGTCACGAGTCCTACATTTTATATAAGGCCTTTGTTGAGTCATGTATCAGACCTTTAAGACTCATATTATCATGCCTCGCACATTCTAAACCCATTTTATAAAATACCTTGTCCAATAAAGATACCTTCTGTACCCTGTGGCTCAACCCATTCTACTTTTATGTAGAACCTCCGTGGACATATAGTTATATTGGTGGCTGGTGACTTTAGTGATGGGTGCTGGTTAGATGGTTAACATTATGTTACCAGTGCTCCAGTGAAATTAGGTGAATGCTTACTGAACTGATTACTGGAAGGATAATTTTGAAATTGAATTAAGAACATGATATGAAAATTATGCTTTTATTACTTCTTTGCCATAGACATCACATATTGAATATTGATGTTTTTTTTTGTCTTACTTCATTTTCCTCCCTAGATTTAAGGTGCCTATAGAATGATGGGGTGTCACACCAAAGGAACCCTGAATCTGCACATCAATCCCCCAATTACCTAAGTTTCTCACCAGGAATAAAACACGCGTATCCCCAAAATGCCATTTGCTAGGTAAGTGTCCTTATTGTAAAATATCGATTTTAAGAAAGATCATGTTTTTACAGATTTTCAGAATGTGGCATTTGACAGTAAGGAGGAAATGTTTCCATACAGGATATTTTTCTAAACTTTTAGCTCTGGCAAATTTGCATTCTAATTACAAAATATAGGCTAGAATAGCCGGTAATATCTGTAAATCCGGTAAAATTGAATTGTTTTTCCAATTTGGCTGTTTCAGCTTAAATTGTAAAAGTCTGTTGTTAACTCACCGTTTAGCGAATTAACTCCTAAATATTTGTGCCTAGTAATGTCAGCAAAGTGAATCGACCCATCTTAGGAACAACCATACTGAACATTTGCAGGGTGGTGTTCTAAGATGGCCATTGTGATATTTATAGTTTTTCAATATCCTCTTTATTGAAAAAAACAAGAATACAAATTAATAAACGTATGCATCTGGAGAATCAGGGTACATAGAAACGGGAGAGATTAGAATACTTACTCTGGAAAAAAATTGGTAACAATCTGATTACAGACACAAACTGTTTATAATAAACAACAGCACACCACTTTATATTGCAGTATTGTCCATTGTACAACAGGACACAACAGAAGAATTCAAAATGTACAAGATCTCCCTTGAAAGGGAGGTGGAGATGTTGGGGCTTAATTCACTAAACACAGTTGTAGTAAAGTGAAAAATTAATTGCAATATTTGGACTACAGGAGCTATTGCTGAGCTGTAGAATTTTTCAAACTCACGTTTCTTTGGCAAAATCTTGCAATTTAGTTTAATCTAAAAGTTGGCTAGAACTTTGTTGCAAGGTGCTCAGTTAGCAAGATATTTCTGTTTTTGTACAGTACAGTTTACGATTTGTAAAACATCCAAAATGGTCAAAGAATTGTCTCCGCTCACTTTCCCCTTTCACAAGACCTCACACCCTACTGATAAACCATATGGATCCGAAATGTTGTTTATGGAATGCCGTGAGGCCAAATTACCCAGCAAAGTATTTCCTGCAACAAACTCTCCAGTATCCCTTCTAGAGAAAGGAAATTAGTTTATTGTGGGATTTTAAATGTTGGCTAATTCTTTGTTAGAAAGCACAATGAGAGTTTCTGCTTACTGGATTAAATCTAGCCCATGTAGCCTTATCTATGACTTAGATGGTCTGTTTAAATAGGCTTTATACACAAACACGTTACTCCTACTTTTTAATTATCTCACTGTAGCTTTGTTTTGTAATAGAGAAAAAGGGTAGGGTCGCACTCAGTCACAACAATTCAGCCCAGGGTGCTACTGAGCATGGGTCAGCAAAAACCCCAAGGAATATGTACAAATAGAAAAATCTCAGGCACTCACTGCGATTGTTTCCAGGCAGGTTTATTGCAACGTTTCGACCTGTTAAAGGACCACTATAGTGCCCTGATGGTGCCCCCACCCTCAGGGTCCCCCTCCCGCCGGGCTGAAGTTGGAGGAAGGGGTTAAACACTCGCCTTTTTCCAGCGCTGGGCTCACTCGGCGCTAGGACTCTCCTCCCTCTTCTGACGTCCCTGGTTGAATGCAAATGCACGGCAAGATCCACGCCTGCATTCAGCCAGTCTCATAGGAAAGCATTCTCAATGCTTTTTCTATGGACGCTGGCGTCTTCTCACTGTAAAAATCATAGTGAGAAGCGCGGAAACGCCTCTAGCGGCTGTCAATGAGACAGCCACTAGAGACTGGATTTACCCTAATGTAAACATAGCAGTTTCTCTGAAACTGCTATGTTTACAGCACAAAGGGTTAAACCTAGATGGACCTGGCACCCAGACCACTTCATTAAGCTGAAGTGGTCTGGGTGCCTATAGTGGTCCTTTTAAGATCGGATTGGAAACTTGAAATTGGCTCCTGTCTGCTTGTAGACATATCACAATGCTGTAGGTAATATTACTGACTGTTAGAACATAATCTGAGTGTGAATCTCATTATTATTGCATACATGTTATTAACTATATTACATTATTTAAGCTAGAACTGTATTGGGCTGAGAAATGCTTTGAGTTTTGAATGGCTCAACGCAGAGCTTAAAATTTCTACGTATCCGGTAGCCATTGGCGATTTGAATATTCAGCTGTGGCAAGTAGAAATTCATCCCTTGTGAGTGGGCTATGGACCTTCCAGACTGTCAGTGGCAAATACCTAGTAGACATGTTAGGAAGCATCAGACTTGAAATTGTGATTCCTGCTCAATGTATTATGCACTAATGTTTGTTGCCCCAGTAAGCTGTAATTTCTTTATATCCTAATGCCAACCCCTGGAGATTGGCTCTGCCTATTCTCTTATAATCACCATATTGAAAGTTGCCCAGATCAATGTTGTTTGTTTTTTACAGTTCTCGCAACCCAAACCAGTAACAGTAGACTCATTATGATATTTCATTAACGTGTTCTGACCACATCGGCTACCCAGGAACTACATCTTGTAATTTTTTTAAATGTCTTGTGCATGCTGTATTTTGTGTTTTTCTTATAAAAAAAAAAAAATGAATATTTTTTTTTTTTTTTTTTAGAGCATGTGAAGGATATAACTATGGTTGAACCCAATGGGAGCACTCTGTTTATATGTTTTCTGATCGTTAACCTTGCCGAGGGTGCATGTAAGATTGACATTTGGAAGAAATTTGTCGACTGCTCTCGTCTGAATCTTGAGCAAGTGCCAACAGATATCTCTCATGATGTTGAGAAACTGGATCTGTCCTACAACATACTCACCAAAATTAAAAAGGAGGATTTTTATCATTTATCCAATTTAAGGATATTAAACTTGAGCTACAACAATATATCCAGTATAGACAATGATTCTTTAAACACAAATATACTTCTGGAAAACCTAAGTTTGTTTAACAACTCTTTGACTGAGATGCCATCAGAACTGCTGGAACCTCTTAAGAATTTGAAAGTCCTTGATATGTCCAATAATTTCTACAACTCTTCCACTCTTGGGAATGTGTTTAAAAAATTGGTGTACCTTAAGAATTTATCTTTTGGTGGCCCAATGATAAAGACAATCTTGAAAGATGACTTTGTACCCATACAGGACATTGAACTAGAAAGATTTGCCTTAAAAACTCAGTCTAGTCTAGAGGGTTATGAAGTTGGGGCATTCAGCATGGTGAATACGCGTGATATATGGTTTGATATTGCATTGGATAAGTATGCAGATGCTCTTCCTCTCATCTTAAAAGATTTGGCTGAGAAATCCTTTGAGAATATGCGTTTCCGAAATTTGTTCGAGTTCACTTATTACACAGAAAGCATGGATATTTTCTCTGGCTTAAAATACATTCATGTTGATTCCCTGACCTTTTACCGAGGGAAGTTCAATGAGTACCTTCTTTATCTGGTCTTGAACAACATTGAGAAGCCATCTAATATCAGTGATCTCTTATTGTTGTCTGTAGACTTTGCCCGTTCTCCAAACTCCAACAAGACTGGCGAAAGAATTGAAAATCTGTCACTGGAAAACTTGGTCATTCAGGATGTTACCAATCCAGACATTTTGAGATTTGATTGGACTTTTACCTGGTTCAGCAACATCAGAAATTTGCACATCGTCAATGTTAATTTTAATTTTGTCCCATGCGATGCTTGGAATCATATGACTAAGTTAGAAAGTCTTAACATCACTGGAAACCGTCTTTTGGCCAGGTATCTGTACAATCCAACCTGCCAACTTTCATTACCTGCAATCAAGATGTTCAATGCTAGTGACAATACAATGACTAGCCTCAGGACAATTTCTTTGTTAATGGCCACATGGTCCAACCTCTCTGTTGTTGATCTTAGTTTTAACAATATTGGGAGCATCAACGAGTCTTGCATATGGCCTTCTAAAATAACAACTTTTATTTTACATGACAACCCATTGATCTATGATATTTCTCTGTGCCTGCCCCTTACTCTGGAGTATTTGGACATGTCTAATTCTCAGCTAGAGCGCTTAAATATGAATTATTTCAACCAAGTCAATAACCTGCGTGTATTGATTCTCCGTAACAATAAAATCAAATTTATACCCACAGGTTGGAAGAGTTTGAGTCTGGAAGTTTTGGCACTAGAAGGCAATTCTTTTGGAGTTATTGATGGGGGTTCATTTAAATATTTGCCGAGTCTACGAAATCTAACTGCAGGGAACAACCCATACTATTGCAATTGTGACTTATATGCCTTCATCACAGAGACCCTCTCCGATAAAAATATATCACTACTTGACTGGCCAGGTTCTTATTATTGCTATCACCCACAGAACCTTGTGGACACCAAAATTGAGTATTTTAATCCTGGAAAATTACAGTGTGATGTGGGTTTGGTGGTAGCTATATCAGTGGCTGTTACTGCTGTAGTAGTCATTATCTGCATGATGCTATGCTGGAAGTATAATGTTCCGTGGTACCTGAGAGCCACGTGCCAAATCATCCGTTCGAAATATCGCTCCAAAAACAGTGAGGACAACAGAGAATTTGTCTATCATGCCTTCATTTCATACAGCTATTTGGATGCAGATTGGGTGAGAGAAGTGCTGCTACCTCGTTTGGAGAATTCTACTCCACCTTACAGGCTGTGCATACACGAGAGGGACTTTCTTCCTGGAAGATGGATTATTGACAACATCATCGACAACATTGAAAACAGCCGCAAGATCATCTTCGTGCTCTCACGCAGCTTTGTCAACAGCGAATGGTGCAATTACGAGCTTTACTTTGCCCACCAGAGGAACATTGGACATGCGTTTGAAGATGTCATCCTGGTGGTTAAGGAGAATGTCAGCTTGGAGGATCTCCCAAAACGGTTCTATAGGCTGAGAAAAATGCTGAAAGCCAAGACTTATCTGGAGTGGCCTTCAGACCAGAAACGGCAGCCGTTCTTCTGGGTCCAGCTGAAGTCCATTCTAGGTGGAGCAAACCAAACTGTTACAGGACAAGATAATTTGTCTGTGATTAGTGAGACAGTTGTGGACAGACAAACAGATCCTTGCGTGGTTTCCACTGTAACAAACTCCTCTCAAACATTTCCTGTCAGTTAAAAAGGGCTTTCTGTTCCCTTAGAATGTTTCTATGGATCCATGCGTTTGCATTCCGAGTTGCTCATGTTTTTTTTGGGTTCTTGTAGTGCGATTGCATTATAGAAAGTTTGTACTTTATGTTATGTTTTTATGACTATTCCAATAGTACATTGTAATTTTAGTTTTTGTACAGGTTTTCTTTACTGTGAAAAAGAGAAATAGTGACTCGAATAAGGATATATAGCTTTAAGCTGATGAATGTACCCTAATACAGGGTTACGCTGCTGAGACTCTGCTAATGTAGAATTAAACCTCTCCCGCGTTAAAGCTTGGCATTGATCGGCTCAGAGCACTGGAGGTTGATTAGCCAGGATGTTTCCAGTGTTGTCCGATGTTGGACGGGCTAATGTGAAATTTCTTTTCCTTGTTAGGCAAGTTGCAGCAGAGTGACTACACTTTGTGGCAGAAGATCCCCGATTTTTGTCAAGTACCTCGATAACTGTCTAACACTAATCAGGGAGATAGCTCCCGAAGACTTATTGCTCCATAAGTACTACAGTGAGCTGCCCCTTTAAAATAGTTGGTGTATGAAAGCAAACTCCTTACTTCCACAGCAACAATAATGTGCGCTAAATCAGTATTAAAGGAACACACCATAACCACTATAGATAGTTGAAGCATTTATGGTGCCAGGCGCCCATCCATTGTTAGAAGTCAAACTTGGAAATGGGCAAATAGGTAATGGAACATGGGTCCCTATTTAGGACTGTCCAGCCATGGGTCCCTATTTAGGACTGTCCAGCAGTAAGATCAGTCTTTGTATTACCAATGAAAGTTACTCTTACTGCCCCTAAAATCACAAGTACTCAAAAAGAGCCCTGCCGTAAAAACCTTATCCGTTGTTCTGAGAATCTGGATTGTGTTTTCTGGTAAATTCTGTGAGGTCTGCATTCTTTAAATTCTCTAAGCATGCAGGTTTATTTTAAAAAAAATGCTTTTTATAAAAGGTAAACCAGTGCAGGTTTTTTTTTTACTTTTTGGTGGGGTGGGGGTACTGCCATTTTAGCACTTTTAATATTCTGCGCCCTTTATATTGATAGAGGAGGAAATATTTGCTAAATTAGCATTTTACACAAATTCATTATCGGGTCACTAGTTGATAATAATAACAACTTGTCTTTACTCATATGACTCACTTCCTAAATTCCAACTCCCTCCTCGATCCTCTTCAATCTGACTTTCGCCCCCTCCACACTACTGAGACTGCTCTTATTAAAGTTACAAATGACCTAATCACAGCTAACTCCAAAGACCACTATTCCATACTAACTCTTCTTGACCTCTCTGCTGCCTTTGACACTGTTGATCATGGCCTCCTTCTCCTAATACTTTAATCTCTTGGTCTCTGTGACACAGCCCTTTCATGGTTGTCCTCCTATCTCTCCCAACGCTCCTTTAGTGTCTCTTTTTCCAAAGACACCTCCTCTCCTCCTGTCTCAGTCGGAGTCCATCAAGGTTCAGTTCTTGGTTCCCTTTTGTTCTCTCTCTACACTGCCTTTCTTGGCAAACTCATTAATTCATTTGGATTCCACTACCACCTGTACACCGACGACACCCAGATATACCTCCACTGCCCTGACCTTTCCCTTGCTGTCCTACAGTGTGTCACCAATTGCCTTTCTGCTGTCTCTGATTGAATGTCCTCCCCCTTTCTGAAACTCAATCTCCCTAAAACTGAGTTTCTTATTTTTCCCCTTCATAACACTGATCCTCCTCCTTCAATCTCCCGGCAGGTTGACGGTACCTTCCTCACCTGATCCTTTCAAACTCGCTGTCTTGGTGTCATTTTTTTATCCTGGCCTTACCTTTGTACCTCATGTCCAGTCTGTTACTAAAACCTGTCGATTTCAGCTTAACAAAATTGCCTGCATACGCCCCTTTCTTACGCGAGATGCTGCAGAGGAGCTTGTTCATGCTCTAGTAATCTCTTGCATGGATTACTGGAATTCCCTCCTAATGGGTCTCCCCAGAAGCCGTAGTGCCCCCATACAATCTGTGATGAATGCTGTTGCCTGTCGCTCCTCTCACACCTCACCCCTCTGTCAATCCTTACACTGGCTTCTTGTACCCTACAGTTGTCAATTTAAATTACTAACCCTTACCTATAAAGGCCCTAACCAACTCTAGCCCCTCTTACATTTCTTCACTGATTCATAGGTATGCCCCCTCTCAGCCTCTCCGCTCTACTGGTGACTTTCTGTCTGCTGCTCGCACCCTTACAGAAAACATTCACGCCTGCAAGACTTCTCACAGGCCTGCCTACCCCTGTCAGACTCTCCCCTAGTCTTCAATCCTTTTGAGAAGTCCCTCAAAACCCATCTTTTCAGGATTGCTTATGGCCTCCAAGAGTAACTTCTATCTCTCAAACCTTCCTCTTGCTGTCTCCTAAAAGGCCACACTCCACTCTCCCCTCCAGTTCTGCTACTTTACCACCGTGTCTTTTTGCTGTCTCTCTCAATACCCTTCCTATTGTGTTTTTATACCCCCCACCTCCACTAGACTGTAAGCTCGTTTGAGCAGGGTCCTCCAATACCTTTTGTTCCTGTTACATTTTGTTATTGTCTCATTTGGTAAATTCCCCTCTTATTGTAAAGCGCTGCGGAATAAGCTGGCGCTATATAAATAATAACCAATAATAATAATACACTAGCATTCGTTATAATTGTTTTATTTCCTGTAATATTATTAATCTCAATGAAGTTATTATAGGACAGGAGTGTCTCGGCGCTTACCTTCAGGGATTAGTTTTATATTTTTTTTCAACAGTTTAACTCCAAAGTTGGTTCCCTTGCTAATGGCTGCTGAGCCTCACCTCTGTACGCCGACTATAGCTATGATTAAGAAGGTTCACTGGGTAGTTGATAAATGATTGATTGAATTACTGTCTGCCCCTGGCAGAAATGATGGTGATAGTACACTTCCACTATAATAACTCCATTGAGATCACTTTGTTATGGGAGTGGCAGTGTTTATTTTAAGCACACTTTTTTGAAACCTGTAACTGTAAGTAATTGGAAATCTACTTTTGTATATATGTATATTGTAATATACAAAATAATGTTGATGTATTATAGTTTCTAAATTGTTTTTTTTTTTTTTATCTATAATCTTAGCAGGCAAATTAAACGGTCCCTCTAAGCACAGTTATTATCACAGCTCATTGTAGTGGTTATGGTACTAGGAGTCTATAAACATCGTTGCCTGGTCAAACCATTTTGGAGCTCTTAAAATCTGACTATACCCTATTAAACATTTTCCGCAAACCTGTCCCACTTTTGCCTGGGGGGGAAGGCAGGCTAGTAATGTGATTGCGTCACAGCGGGATGGACTGGCCCATAGGATTGGCGGGTCATCCTGGTGTGAATGCACTCCAGGCTATTTGTCCATCATCCTGGCGAGCCCATTGAGGGCAAACCCAGAAGGGACCACTGATTTAGTGCTCTCTACAGAGTCCGAGTCTCCTGAACATAGCATGAGCATGTCTAATGATGTACTTGCGCTGTGCTTGATGAAGACAGTTCCCTAGTGTTCCTTTTCCCCTCTCCCACCGCCCGCCTCCTTTGGGTGAGAACATCAATGCTGGCTCCGTAGAGAAGCATTGGGATGCTAGTGCCGATGCATGTTAATAGCATGTCCCGCGCCAATCTGCATGTCCTCATAGAAATTTGTTGTCCAAGAGGTGGCCCTAATTAGTGTCAGGCAGGAGTGGAAGAAAAGGCATTGTTTATATATCGTTCAGCCTTCAAAGACAGGCTTTTTGTCTCGTAATCACTACATGTGTGGTGTTTCTGGCACTTAGTGTCCCTTTAAAGATTTAGTGACTGACATCACCTGTTTTGCTTCTACTCTTCCACGTACTATGTTCAATAAGAAAAAGTGGCAGAGCTTACCACAATGACTGACGGGGTGCCAAGATGGCGGTTAGAACCTAACACAGTAGTTTGGATTTTAACATTTAATTTAATTTTCCAGACCTCACAAAGGCATGTATTTTTTAAATATAGGGGATACGTAAACATTACTGTAAAAATCACTGATGCTTGTAAGGGCCAATCTTTGCATGCTGGAATGTTCCGCACTCGTTTCCTTTCCTAATCTTGAGAAGGGTTTGACTTGTCTGTAGTTAAAGTTACAGCTTTGGAACACATGTTGACTTGTAATGTTAGAACAAGCAGCACGCACACATATTTCTGAATAACAGCGTCCTATAAGAGTTTGTTCTTCAAAGAGTATTGAAAACAGAATTGCAAGCTTTAGGCCTCAGTAGGCTCTTTGGAAAAATAAATAATCAGTTAAATGGTTTTTCTTCCAATCTGTCTGTTTCAACCTAAACTTGTTTGCAACTTGTTTTTTTCAATTTTCTTAAACTCACAGCTTTCCGAATAAACTCCGAAAGTCATTATAAGGATGAGTTTCTCTTAACCCTTTTAGCACTGGAGCATTGACCAATACATTATACAACATAAAATGTAAATATGTTATGAAAAAGGTCGCTGTTTTGTGTATGGTGGTTAAATACAGTATAAACAAGGTACATTCATCAAATTGTGCATAAAGTAATAATACAGATAACTACGTCATTGATAATGCATATGGGCATTTACAAATGGCAGTTAATTTTTTAAAGTTCCAATTAGAATGTATACAAGAAAATGCTATCATGCAATAGGATTCAATATCAGTACACCTGACTGTACGCCATTGTCAGAATGGTGGATATGTAAATGCAGTAAGATATTGATGGTTATATTTCATGTTTTTTATATGTAAATAAGGCGCAGACTCGTGGACATCTTTACCATGCTACGGGACTCTTTATTTGTGTTGGGACCTTTTTTTCATATTTAAAAGGGCACTCTGATGACCATAACAACTACATGCATATTCAGTGGTTATGGTACCACGAAACACTTTGCGCCATTTCTCGAATATGGGTCAAGCCATTATCAAGTACTTTGTCACAAATTGAGGATCACCTAAATGCCTGTTGCTGGCCCCTTGCTTGGCAATTTGCTATTGCAGGAAGAATTTGTCCACATATGGACGTCATTCATTGCTCGAGCACGTCAGCTGAATATCATCCAATTACGGATTGAATTGATTAGCAAATGCAAGTGTTACACCCGCAACATGCTGAAAGAGTGGCCAGGCAGCAGACGCTGGGGGCATCCTTGATTTATTTTCAAATCATGACATTCCGTTTACAACACAAAGCGCATTTTTTTAAATTTATTTTTTGTGAGGTTTAATCAAATAAGGAGACACAGCTCTTATCAAAGATGAGCTATTTAATTTACATACCCTGATGGATTAAACATTGCTGTCAAGAAAGTGACGAGAGACGTGAAACGCCTTCACTGTGATCTATTTAAAGTCCTTTTCTCCGTGCGTTTTGCATACCGATATAGACGTAATTATAGTTTAGTTTTGCAGCTGAGAAAATAAAATAAATGAAGTCATGCGATTTGTTCTCTATTCCACAATGAGGTTTGCGTTTGATAATGCTAATTGGTATTTCTTGATTCAAATTCCAAATCTTTTGGCGCATGAAACGTATGTACAAACACAGACTATTTTTTCTTTTTATTGAGTGACGTCTTTTTTGGTTTCAAGAGAACATGTATTCACACCTTCAGATCTAGTTAGGCAGCGAAAGAAGACAGTTGGATTATATAGATTTTACTGTGAAATTTCTACATCATTAGAAGGATTAAAAATGTTAAAGTGGGGATAATTAGATCAATTAAGCGTTCCGTTTCCTACTTCACTAACTTTTACAATTAAATAAACGCAAACAACGCTTGTTGACCCTTGAATGTACATTTAACCCTTGAATGCACTGGCAACCTTTTAAATCTGAAATATTACTAGCCGTATATTTTTCTGGATGTAGATGTGAAATATCCAGTTGACGACTTCTAAGAATATAAGGGACAAAGAGCAATATTTTATCAAATGTTTTTGTGTAAATACTTTGCAAATATGTTTCAGTGTTTTATTTGGTAAAAGTTTAAAAAAAATGCAGGTTCTAATTTTTTTTTTTATTGAAATCACATAAAGAGTTAAAATACTGGAATGTGTCTCTGTGTTTCTTGTGCTCAATAACTTGATAAGGTTAATTGTGCAGGTATTGTGCTGGCTTCCAAACTTGGCAAAACATCCCATCAAATTCAGCTCTGTTATTGTCTAAATCTCCACTCTTTCTCTACAGACAGACAGATAAATAGATACATCGATATTATTGGTTTCGGTCCCTATTGTGACATTCTTGTAAATACATTCATTCGCAGTTTCGCCAATACCATTATATAGTATAATTCTTCCTGTATATATTGTCAGGTGATAGTGCTATTGGCTTCTTTTGTAAAACCCAGTAATTTCCATCCTTTATTTTTTCCAACCCTGGAATGCCATCTACTTAAAAGGTTACTCCAACCAAAAAAAAAGTTTTTGTTTTTTTTAAATAAAACACTTTTTTTGTTTAGACTTAGAGTAACCCTGGTCGTGCTTAGAACCTCCCCCTACCCCATTATTAAAATAAAAGTTAAAAAAGCTTATAAATGAAACTTATCTCCATTCCTGAAACTTGCCAAGTTCTCTCTGCATTACCCTCCTCTGCTGATGTCCCGTTCCTACTTAATGAGGAGGGATGTCGAGGAGGGCAGTATGAGGAGAGAGCATGGGCACAAGGGGGTGGCCGAGCCCCCATTGAGCACCTGTCACAAGCTTGCTGATATCAGACGTCCAAAATGCACAGCGCTCTTGTTCCAAGCTGGCTGATGACACCACAGTGACACTGGATGTGGCGTTACAACTCAACCAGCAAAAGGGTTAAAGGACCACTATAGGCACCCAGACCACTTCAGCTTAATGAAGTGGTCTGGGTGCCAGGTCCATCTAGGGTTAACCCTGCCTGCTGTAAACATAGCAGTTTCAGAGAAACTGCTATGTTTACATTAGGGTTAATCCAGCCTCTAGCGCCTGTCTCATTGACAGCCGCTAGAGGCGCTTCCGCGCTTCTCAATGTGAATTTCACAGTGAGAAGACATCAGCATCCATAGGGAAGCATTGAGAAATGCTTTCCTATGGACTGACTAAATTGCGCATTCAGCCAGTGACGTCAGCAGAGGAAGGAGAGTCCCCAGTGCCGAGGGAGCCCGGCGCTGGAGAAAGGTAAGAATTTAACTTCTTCCTCCCCCTAGAGCCCGGCGGGAGGGGGACCCAGAGGGTGGGGGGGACCCAAAGACCCTATAGAGCCAGGAAAATGAGTTTGTTTCCCTGGCACTATAGTGGTCCTTTAAACTGTGTATGCGCAGCATTTCATAGCGAAATGTTGCAAATAGACTCCAGGCACCATGACAACTTCAGATTATTAAAGTGGTCATGGTGCTTGGGGTAAAGCTTTAAAATAAGGCATCCTATTTTACCACTAGACTGTAATCTCCTTGGGACAGCCTGTCCTCTTTAACTGTTAGATGTAATGTTCCTAGAGGCACACTCTCCCATTCTACTAGTCGATTGTAAGCTTATGGAGACAGTCTCCTATTACAAACATACAAAATGAACCTGCGCTCAAACTCCCACTACTCCTGGACGGCAGCAATGGCTATAGTACTCATCAGCCCCAATACTTACAATAAAAAAAAAAAAGTTAGGGGGGTCTGCCTTGACGTTGGCAGGCAGGTATTCCCTCCAGTGGCCATTGGAGTAACTAAATGACCCTTTGTTTAAATATACATAGGGATTAAGGAGAGAGCGCAGGTAACTTTTTCCTTTGGCTTTTACTATATGTATTGGTGCTGGTGTGTACTGTGGTCGTTGCTGCCGCCCAGGAGTGATGGGAGTGAGCGCAGGACTTCTCTTTTTGTAAAAAAATAAAGTTACTTGGGCACTATCCCAAATCCTTATGCACATTTAAATAACTGAAGTTTTTTTTTTTTTCGTATCACTCCAACGTCCACTAGATGTAAGCTCACCTTCCAAGTCAAGGCAAAACCTCTTAGGTGAGTCCTACACTAACAATTCACCGTGCTGTCTTCAGGTGTAAAGCAAAATCTATGTTGAGACAGAGATTAGATATTTTACCTTATAGCTGAACACAGCAAGGTAAGTTGTTAGTGTAAGACTTACCTAAGAGGTTTTGCCTTGGAATGGAAGGAGCTTACACTTTAATAGCCCTTGGAGTGATATATATATATATATTTTTTTTTTTTTAAACTCCCGTTATTTAACCCCTTAAGGACCAAACTTCTGGAATAAAAGGGAATCATGACACACAAGGTATACAGAAATTTGGATAGTGTACACATGATTTTCAGCCTTCTTTTAGTAACTCTTTTTTTTGCTTTGGTTTTTACGGTCTCCCATAAGACTACTAGTGGGTTGTAAGCTCCTACGGACACAATCACTCTTTCTAGCAGTGGATTGTAAGTGTTTTGGGATGAAATTCACCGTTGTAATACTAGATTGCAACCTACAGACTGTCCTTTCATTAGACTGTAAGCTCATTAGGCAAGAATGTATGTTTTATAGCCCTGGTTATGAAATCAGTTTGGAATGCAGGAACAGGACATGTTTTCTGTCCTTGGTGATCACCCCAAGGGCCGTGAATCAATAAAACAGACCAAAGCAGGAAGCCCTGCTGAGTCCTTGTGTAATCATAGCGTTCTATTTTTTCATGTAGATACACACAGTTACACATATAATGTCAGCACCCATTGTTCCTGTGCAATCTATATTTCATGGTACCCTAGACCTTTGCTGTTCCAAACTGCTCCCAGAGCAAACAGCCTTATCTGTGTTATTTACGCAGCTCAGGCAAAAATATAACTGTATCTACATCTATTGTGTATCTCCTGATAGCTGCTGAATATAACACAGTGGTTAATCTAGCTGTTAAATCAATGGATCTCCTGCAAGGTAAGTCAATTTACTATCTTACTCAAAATATTTACTTTAATACCTGCGTATCCATGCTTTTGTATGTCTGTGTAAAAATATTACTAGCATCCTCTTTGAGTAATTAAATTTGAACCTTATCATTTTTTAATTTTTTGGGGGGGGCGAGATGTGGTATCCTGTTAACAGATCAGAAGGTGTGTGTTTATCACAGAGCTCCACAGTGATAAAATTCTGATTTATATGCAGCACTGCAAAAAATAAAATCAAAAATTCTATGTAATGTATAGATTGTATATGTGTGTCACAGAGCTCCACAGCAATAAAACTCAAAATAATCAGTAATACGTTCATGTGTATTACAGACCAATTAAATGCAGTAATATGCGGGATTTATGGGTGTGTCACAGTGCTTTACAGCAATAAAACTTTTCAGTGTTGTGTGATACACATACATGCAAACTGTTGGTTTAAGAAAGCATAGCTCCACCTACAAGCTCTGTCAATCAAAAGCCAGGAATGACACTTCCTGGCTGTCATAACAACTCATATGAACGAGTTAGTACATTAGAGTTGACTTGGAGAGATTTGCAAGTGATTGCTTCCCACATGCTGTGAGGCTGAAAGTGTCTCTCTAACTGACAAGGCATGGGGTGGGGTGGGGGGTAATAGAGGCACTTTAAGGATATTTTGGTTTAAATCAGAGACACTACAATTCTTACTTTATTAGAGGCAATTTGGATTTGCTTTGTGCATAGTGAAGAATTGTATATTTAAACTGTATTCAATACATTTGGTGCATGACATTAATTTTTTTTTGACTTTGTAATTCCTTTGTCTGGATACGTATTTATTCTTAAATATTTGTCTTGCTCCAAAAATTTGTAGTTTAATGACTATTCTCTAGTGGTTAGGTAAAGCATGTGAAATTCTTTCCTGTAAGAGTCACTTAAAAACAGAGCTGGATTGTTTCAAAACCCTACAAATCCCAATCACTTTCATTAGATGCAATCTCAGTACAGAATGCTGAGTTATGTTGGCTCAAAGCCCTTCAAAGCTGATAAAAACTATGGTTAGTTAAACCTTTTTTAAATATGACTCTTATCTTGATGGACAAGTCATAAAATCAGGATATAAACAAGTAAATGAAATGCCCAATGGATATGATCTGCCTTAAAATATGTAAAAAAAATAAAATTTGTTAATCGGACTGGTACCGTGATTTACATCTTGTACATGATTTTAAGTCAGTGGTTTTTAACTCTTGGGACAAGACCCACAATTAGGTGCAGATATTATTTAATGGGTCCCTGGTAAATTCCCGCACCAGACTGTTTACTACAGTGGATCTGCAACAGACCCTGCCTGATGTGGCAGGACAAAACAAAATAATGTATTGGTGTATTATTGTAAATGAAATTAAGTGAGCAGAAACGTCAAGGGTAGTGCCCCAGCATCTTTAAATTTCACCAGGCACCATGGCAAGCTCACACTGTGCGAAGTGTACTCCGGGCATTCAGCCCATGCAAGGTCACTTCAATAGTGCATGCATAATGCATAATTAAGGAATTATAAGGAAATGAATGCCCCCGTTCCTTATGTTCTCCTTATGTAGGCTGCACCTTTTTTGGAAGGTGGGTCTGCGTCACAGGCCTGCCCTCCTAATCCCAATCTTTTGGAGGTTTGTCTACTATTCTATACAAAATTAAAATGCCATTCCTTTATTTTAACTCAAATTACTTGAGATTGCAAAGCTGTTTCTTGCTTTTCAAGTAGCCCCTATGCGCTCTTACCTGAGCAGGAAACGGAGGTAAATTGCAAGGAAGTAAGCTGGCAAAATGGATTTCCCCTTCTGGTTCAAAAACTGGATATAGTTACAACTTTGTTCTGTATTTGTAAATGTATATATTTCAGCCATTGATATGCTAGTAAAGTATAAACTGGCAGGTAAGCTGATAATAGAGTTAACATGAGTACATTGTTGGAATTGATTGTGAAATGGGATCTTGTAAGATTTCAAGATAAAACCTTTTGCCAAGTATATTTTAAATTGTAGAAGCAGAATGTAACTGAGAGCAAAGTTAATTTGCTATTATTTATTTTGTCTGAGCAATATTATTAGCTACACATCCTGATTAAACGTGCCTTAAAGGAACACTATCGTGTTAGGAATAGCAACCTGCATTCCTAATGCTATAGTACATATAAGGTCCCTCCCCACCGCTAGAAACCCTTTTCTACTTCCCTTCATTCTAGTGCTAAGGCTTCCTCAGCGCTGGCTAGGTCTACTCTTCCCGCAATGTTAGTACTTTCCTATGGGAATTTGAAGACGTTGGACGTCCTCCTGCAAAGCGTAAGGACGTCCAATGTCATCTAACGGAATAAAACTCCATTAGAGACCAGAATGCGACTCCTGTCTGGAAGACAATGTAGTCATTGCAGTTTCACAGAAATTGCAGTCTTTTACGTTGCAGGGTTAACCAGGCCACTTCATTGAGATGAAGTATAAAAATTGTGTTGATTTAAACTGTTGAATCATTCTTAAAAAATGTTTAATGTGATATGTAGGCAGATTTTTATGGCCTCGTGTTTCATTGATAGTATTTTTTTTATCTCTCCAGCTTAAATCTCTGGGGTGAAGACTTCATTGAGATGAAGTGGCCTGGGTCCCTATAGTGTCCCTTTAAAGCAGGGCTATACAACCGTTGGCATGCCGGATGTTGTGGATTACATTACCGCTATGCTTTGCCAGCATTATGGCTGTAAGAGTATTCCACAATATATAGAGTACCAGAGGATACCTCTGCTTTAAAGGGTCACTCACACACTGTGCTAATCATTGGTCAGCACCATGAAATCTCCCTGTGGAAACCAGTCAGAAGTCAGAAATTCTAAAATGTTAAAGGAGCACTATAGGGTCAGGAACACAAACACGTATTCCTGACCCTATAGTGTTAACACCACCATCTAGCCCCCCTGGGCCCCTTATGCCTCCATAAATATAGCAAACTCTTACTGTATTCAAGACTGAAGCTGTAACTCTGCATGCTGTTTGCCTGAGAAAAACAAGCAGTCTGCTGACATCATCAGAAGTGGTAGCCTGATCCAATCACAGTGCTTCCCCATAGGATTGGCTGAGACTGACAAAGAGGCAGATCAGGGACAGAGCCAGCATGATTCAAACACAGCCCTGGCCAATCAGCATCTCCTCATAGAGATTAATTGAATCAATGAATCTCTATGAGGAAAGTTCAGTGTCTGCATGCAGAGGGAGGAGACACTGAATGTTTGGATACATTTTAGGCAGCCATGACCCAGGAAGGATCTCTAATAGCCATCTGAGGAGTGGCCAGATATCACTAGGCTGTAATGTAAACACTGCATTTTATCTGAAAAGAGAGTGCTTACAGCAAAAAGCCTGAAGTGAATGATTCTACTCACCAGAACAAATTAAATAAGCTGCAGTTGTTCTGGTGACTATACTGTCCCTTTAAGCTAGATTTATATATCAGAGCATACAGATGGTCCATGCCTTTTCTTATCTGACCATTGAACCGTTGGCATGGTACAGCCAGAAACCCAAAGAGTAATCCAAAAACAACCTTTTTCAACTCCATTCACTGTGACCATGAGAAACACTGTGTGAGAACAAAGCAAAAGTTAGATTTAGGGTTTTAACCCCTTAAGGCCACAACTTCTGGAATAACATGGAATTATGACGGAATAGCTCCATCATGTGTCCTTAAGGGGTTAAACATCTGCACTTAAGTTTCCTTGTGCTTAGAACAATTCTTAGTTATCTCCCTTCTGATTGGATGGTCAGTTATCAGCGAGTTTTCTACCTTTCTGATATGTGACTTAATGGAGATTGGGATATATTGTTAACCCCTTAGGGACCAATGATGAAGTCATTACATCTGAACAAACAAGCATTTAAATAATATATGATAGTAGAATGTCATACTCATTTAAATGTAACATATATACGGGTGCTAGTTTTGAATTAGTAGGACATTCGGAGTAAGTCCAGGGTGTTCAGGGACCATTTTGTGATGATTCTGGCATCACTAAGAGGCACGCGAGGGAGCTGAGCAGGGAGATCACTGCTCCCTTACCGCCCACACGCTACATGCTAACCGCTCAGCAGCCCCACTGGACCCCAGGCACTGCACGCCAGCCATTCAGCAGCCCCACTGCACACCAGCCATTCAGCAGCCCCACTGGACCCCAGGCACTGCACGCCAGCCATTCAGCAGCCCCACTGGACCCCAGGGACTGCACGCCAGCCATTCAGCAGCCCCACTGAACCCCAGAGACTGCATGCCAGCCGCTCAGCAGCCCCACTGGACCCCAGGGACCGCACGCCAGCCGCTCAGCAGCTGCAGGGACTCCATGCCAGCACTCCTAAAGGTAGGGTGGCTGGGTGGAGTAAAATGTGAAAAAAAATTGAATGTGTGTCTGTTAGGGAGATTGTATGTGTTTGTGTTTCTGTCAAAGAGTATATGTGTGCTTGTCAGTGAGTGTGTGAGAGTGTATGGTTTTTGTCAGTGAGAATGGATCTGTTCTTGTCAGTGAGAGTGTATATGTGTTTGTATGTGTGTCTGTAAAAGAGTATGTGTGTGTCAGTGAGAATGTATGTGTCACTGTGTGTATCAGTGTGTTTGTATGTGCCTGTGTGTGTGTGTGTGTGTGTGTATATCTATGGGTGCAAGTGTGTGTATATGTCACTGTGTGTATGTGAGTCAAGATGTGTGTGTGTGTGTGTATCTGTGTGTCAGATACATATATATACACACAGATACACTGGTGCATACAAACACAGATATACACACCGGCACATACAAACATAGATACACACACCTTGACACACAGATACATACACATACAGATACACACACTGGCACATACAAACACACTGATACACACCTTGACAAACAACCGGCACATACAAAAACCGCCGCTGAAGTGGTCATGGTGCATGGAGTAACCCTTACATTGCCAGTTATTAGAGTTTGTTTACCATGAAATGAAACTTGTCCACTAACTACATTTCTCTCTCTCCAGAATTTGTGTGTAACATTAGTAAACAAACAAAAAATATATATATTTTTTTTAAGTTACAGAAATGACTCTACAAGGAGTGGCTCCTGGTCTGGTAGAACAGCCGATGACATCACAGGACTGACAGACTGATGGTATTCTGCTGCACCTCCCTCCTGATGACAGCTGGAATTCTACATATTACAGGTTCTTAAAAAGATCTTAATCATCTACAGTAAAATGGTAGCAAGCTAAGGAGAGACTAACGCATATATGAAAATAATAAATATATTAAATAAACACTCAATCTGCACAACCACTGCAACTCTTTGTAGTGCTTATGGTGCCAGAAGCGCCTAGCACAATCCAAATATAATAAGTAAAACTATTTTATCAAGGTTTGACATTTACCTGAGTCCTTCCGCCTGCCAAAGCTGTTTGTGGTTTTATTAGACTGTTGTGGTTATGGGTTTCTGAGTGTTCCTTTAAAAAAATAATAGTTACTTTTCTGCATTTACTAAAATTTGTCTTCTGATTTACTTAATCCACTAACTGAGCGCCGGAACCACGAGGGAGAGGATATGATCTGACTGCACCTACTGCTGGTGCGCACCATTGGGCCACCAGCGAATCGTTTAAATTGAATAGGCTGGTGTCCCCAACTTGTGAGCTGCGTTGGCCGCCGGGCGCCTCTGTTGTCATGGCACCCTGCGTGACCGCACAGCTTGCACACCCCAACAGCTGGACCTGCTGACAAACACTGACGTTACTACTTAGACATCCCTCAATATTAATACAGACATCAGAGTAAACACCAATAAACTGTGGAAACAGAGCTGATCCCCCCAAATTTAATAAGATCTGCTTAGTGGATTTGTTGTAAGATTAAATCATGCCTCCTCCTCTCTCTCCCATGCGCTGCTCTGTAAACTGGGAGGAAGTGAAGAGTAATCACATTCTCCCAGCACAGCGCCACCGGTGGCTGCATGGGGAACAGCTGTTAAATGTAATGCTTGTAGGGCGGCCAGCTGCTGCAGAACCTCTTTGTTCCCGTCTATGCAAAGGGCTCCAGGCACTGCTTGCTGTGAGTGCGAGCCACTGTAAATTAGGGGCAGAGGGCACTTGCATTGCGATAAAGACGGGTCTGGGCAGGAGGAGAGTGCATCATTAGGACCAGCCATGCAGAGACCGGGTTTAAATTAGTGCACTCACCTCCTGTGGGTCACCAGTAGACTGGTGCACCTGCCCAGGATCAGAGCAGGTGCAAGGATTTTTGCCGCCCTAGGCAAAAGAAAAATTTGCTGCCCCCTCATGTGACATCACAATGCCCCACCCATATGATCTGCCATATGAACTAACGCCAGTGCTGCACACAGTGTGTGTTTACATTAAAAAGCCTGCAGGGACCAGCTATAGACACCAGAACCACTTCATTAAGCTATAGTGTCCCTTTAATGTGAGGTAAGTTATAGATTAGTGTCACTAATAATATACTAGATTGCCTACTTACAAGCAGATGAGGATGATGATGGGCTGCAGTTTGGCTCCACTGGTCTGGTGTAGAACAGGATCTCTGGAGGCTGTTTGCAACTGTGGTCACAAAATTCAATGTTCTGGGAGAATTGGAAGCAGCTCCATTTTTGGGGGGCCCCTTACACAGCTCAAGGTCTGGGCCCCATAGGCATGCGCACGGGGTGTTCCTGCAGACACTCTGCCACCCCCAAATGCCCTCCTCCTCCCCGTGTCCCCCTGTCATGGGGGGGGGGAGCAAGAGGTGATGGACACCCCCGCCACCCCCCTGGTCGGGCACCTATCTCCATACAACAAGCGGCGAGGGAGCTGTGTGCTCTCTGCTTCCTCTCGCCACACGCCATTTGCTGATGCCGGCTCCCAGCTACAGCAAACAGCCCGCGCGGCGAGGGGTAGCAGAGAGCACACAGCTCCCTCGCCGCGGCTGAGATGGAGACAGGCGCCCAACCCACTGGACCCCCAGGGACAAGTCCACACCAGCTCTCCATGTAAAATAATTTGTGTATGTGTGTGAGTGTGTGTGTGTGTGTCTGTAAGTGTGTGTGTAAGTGTCTGTGAATGTATGTGTGTGTGCTTGTAAATGTGTGTGTGTGTGTGTGTGTGTGTGTATGTGTGTCTGTGAATGTATGTGTATGTGTCTGTAAGTGTGTGTATGTGTATCTATGAATATATGTGTGTGTGTCTGTAAGTGTGTGTCTGAGTATGTGTGTGTACACGTGTATATATATACACACACAAGTGTATATAATTTGTTTGGGGGGTGGGAAATCTTG